CATATATTGTGGGTTTTTCGCATCACTAGACCAAGAAATTTGGGATTTTGATTATTGGGTTATAATGATTTAGGGTAAGATTTTGTTGGGTCTTCTCTTTTTATGTATCTGATCTCTTGTTTTCTTCAATGTCTTATGGTTTGCTTGTTCTTGAGATAAATTGCTGAGCTTTTTTGTCTGAATGATTCCTCTTTCAAAGCTTTTCCATTTTCCCTGTAAACTTCTGAGATTTAACCATCTTTCGATCTACTAAACCTGTAGAGCTTGTTGGAGTCATTGGCTTATGTGTTCTTGTTATGCTTCTTTCGATTTCTACCTGCAGTTCTCTGTACTTTCTGTTAGATGTTAATGTCTGTAATGTGATTTATTAACTTGGTTTTGGTGATTTTGTTGATACAGAAAGGAAGCTTTTAGCTTTTTTTCCGTCTTTGCGCGTGTCCCATTCTCTTCTCCATAGTGAAAGGTTTATCAAGTTTTAGCTCTCAGGTGTAAAAGATGGAGGTCAAGTTATGGAACGATAAGCGGGAAAGAGAAATGTATGAGAATTTCGCAGAGCTATATGCTATCATCAAAGCAACTGAGAAGCTCGAAAAAGCTTATATCCGTGATCTGATCTCTCCATCAGAATACGAAACTGAGTGTCAGAAGCTCATTGTTCATTTCAAGACACTATCTGCTACGCTCAAAGACATGGTTCCAAACATCGAAAGATTTGCTGATACGTACAAGATGGATTGCTCAGCTGCGGTTTATCGTCTTGTGACTTGCGGTGTTCCAGCTACTGTTGAGCATCGAGCTGCTGCGATTGCTTCTACTTCAAGCTCTGCTTCAGTTGTTGCTGAGTGTGTTCAGAATTTCATCACTTCCATGGATTCGCTGAAACTCAACATGGTTGCTGTTGATCAAGTGTATCCGTTGTTGTCCGATCTCTCGGCTTCTCTTAATAAACTAAGCATTTTGCCACCGGACTTTGAAGGGAAGATCAAGATGAAAGAGTGGCTTGGGAGGCTGTCTAAGATGGGAGCTTCAGATGAGCTCACTGAACAACAAGCAAGGCAACTTCACTTTGATCTTGAGTCGTCATACAACTCTTTCATGGCTGCTTTGCCTAACGCTGGTAACTAACCGACTGATGTGAGTTCGGTTTTGTTTTGTTTAGACTTGGCTTTATGTAGCTATAATGGTGGCTCTAGGACAATGACTTTGGTTTAAGACATTTTGCTACATTCTGGATATGAATGTTTGTGGAAAAAACTAGCCATTCCTATTTTTTATGTAAAGGATTATGCCAAGCCAGAAGATTGAATTTTGTTATAATGTATGAATCTAAATTCTACTAGGGGTGGGCAAATTCTACTAGGGGTGGGCGGTTCGGTTACGGTTCGGTTTTCCAGTTTATCGGTTTTACAAAAACTCAAACCATATAAA